TTGTCACAGTCGTTCTCATTGTCACAGTCTTTCTCATTGTCACAGTCTCACTTTCATTGAGCTCAGAACACACATGTCTTACATACAGATGATGATTGTATTATAATAGCCAGGACAGTGTATCATATGTACCAACTGAGAACTAGATTTCTCAATTCTCTAAACGTCCTGCACTAAACAACTACTGTATATTTTGTTATATTTTTGTATGTTTTTTCTTCATAACCTTTTATAACCTTTTATGTTAAACTATATGTATATGATCAGAATTGGTCGCAATAAAGAAATATATACAGGGTGTCAAATAAGTCCCGTCCCCCCCCCCTCTACAGCCAAAACCAAGATATATGGTACCAAGTGTGATATATCATTGGAAAGGTCTTCCAAAGTTACGTTGATTAACATATATCTGACACATGTCAATCAATCTCACAAAGTTTTACAGTGTATCAATTGAGGTGACCATAGGCCTAGAAACATGTCAATTCGGCGCATTTGGCAGGATTTTCAGAATCGGGTATAAGAAAGGTCAAAGGACCTAAAAATGACTACATATGTTTATGGCAATGAATTTAACCAATTTCTGGATAGGGGAGGATGTGTAGAAAATAGAGGAGCAAGGTAAGTGGTGAAAACATTTTTGTAACCAGTGGAATGTGAAAAAGATTAAATTTTTGACGTATTTCTGAGGTCAAATCCTTGTCATTTTGAAGCAAAAAAGCTGCTTAAAGGAGGGTATGCTAACTATAGAAGACATCATGAAAATATATGTATAAATGTATGTATGTATGTATGTATGTATGTATGTATAAATATTTATTAACGTCTCACGCCATATATAAAATAGTACAATAATGCAATATCAGTTAAAATCTTCGGCCCGGCCGGTGTCGACCTATGGGAGACTTAAAATCATAATAATCACTTGTTAAAAGTTTTTGATTATTAAATTAAAGAACGCCTTTTTAAAAGCATATTAATCAGTGTCTTTGACAATGTCCTTTGTAACATTGGTGTAGTCATAATAGAGCAAAACTGTTGAATATAATTAAAAGTGTGAAAATCTGGAATTTCCTCAAGGCATTTCAGAAACAATGGAGTTCTAAGTTCATCATAAGAATTGCACTGTAGAAGAAAGTGTATCTCGTCTTCAACAGTGTGATTGTCACAGTGACATCGACGATCCTGGAGTGGGGTATTGTGATAACGTCCAGTTTCAACCTTCAATGGGAGTGTTCCGCCTCTAAGTTGGGCAATTGCTTTGCGTTCGCTCCTTGACATGTTAATGCAAGTATAATGGGCGGGTTCCACAGAGTGTGTTTTAAACAGTCTATATGTTCGTAATTTGTTGCCATTAATTGGGTTATTTCTATCGTCCCAAAGACTGTTGTGCCATTCGACGTGATCTGCCCGTGTGCACGCTTCTTTGACCTCGTGGAGATGGAGTTTAACTCGAGAAATAGTTTCATTGTCGATGAGCTGAGGGAAGTCCAAATCTTGTAACATTTTCAGCGTGAGATTTTCCCAAGATTTACGATATCGGCAAGACCATTTAGATATATGCTTCGGTGTCCTATATGTAGCCATGTTTTTTAATCGACACCAGAGTCTAGTCACCTCGACTCTCTGTTTGGTATATATAGGTGAAGTTCATCCAAAATACTTGAGAGTTGGTGAGTTAACATAACTTTGTATGATCTTTCCAATGGTATATCACACTAGGCACCATCTATTAAGGTTCTAGCTGTAGCAGGGGGGACGGGACTTATTTGACACCCTGTATATATATATATATCACCCTAGCGACGTCTACTGATTAACTATTTGTTCCAGTTAATAATCTGATCATAATCAATTAGTACAGTACATAAAATTGGGGTTATTTCTAGCAATAATCGACCAAAAATTTGATTTACATCCAACGAACCTGCTATCATATTTAATCTTTGACTCTCTTATAAATAGTATATCCAAATTTCAGTTCACCTATATATTTAGCATTAAAAACCATTTCCTTCAATATAAAGGAGCTCAGTTTTCTACAGCTCAAAGTAGTTCCTTTTAGGCTAATGCATTGTTACTTATGAATAAATATGTAATATGTATGATTTACCATGGGTTTCACCGACATCAAATTGCAAAATGCAATAAAACGTACGAATGAAGCTTTTACAAAAACATTTTGCGAACATCGATTGGGGACAAAACAACAAATAAAAATGAAATTGACAGCATTATTCATTCCCAGATATTAATTCATCAGCAGCACCTCGGTTTGAAAAACCCTTTTGGAAGAAGAAAACATTCTGGGAATTAATGCGTAAGCTGAATAGAGGGCAAAAAGTGACAAACCCGATCTGGATTTTTTATTTTTAGAAACGATCACTAGTTATTTTTAATTTTAAAAGTAATTTGTTTGAACGAATTCGTAAGCAAATCTAAGCTCCTAAACAAACCACCATTAGTTTTACAATCTAGATCCAATATCGATTCCTATTTCCCTATCGATTGGTATTTCAATCATTGGTTATTGGTTTTTATTTCCAGAGTTCTTTCAGTGAACAAATATATTCGAATGCTTCATGGGCTTTTATTTTGAAGAACTGGTCTAATTAATTGCAATTAATGGCGATGCATTCAAAAAAGTGTCACAATGTTGGTATTTCATTGATATTCAGGCATGTATACTTGCTTTATACAAATGCAATAATACATTCATGCAGCAGTGAAACTTCAAAAGGCCGAGAAAACAATGTCGTAATGAAAGTTTAGAGGAAAAGGAAACGCCATTTTGTCCAAGCTGTATAGAATTTTCGATTGGTCGGCATTTTTGATTATCTTAGACACGCGTGTTAGAATGAAATAAAAGATATTCCTCTCGTGTAATGTAGGTTAAGTACACATTTTCTGAGCAAAAATCATCATGATTATTTTTGACAAGATACGGCTTGCAAACTTCAGAAGCTTTTATCTCAAAAGTGACTAAAATTAAGTTAGAATAAAACTGAACTAACACTCACACAACTAAGTGCCAATCGATGGACATTACTTCACTCGTGTAAAAGCAAGATACAAAGACATTACTTAGGCTTGTATAATACTATGTCGTGAAAATTAGTCGATAAATTTCATTAGAGACTCATGTTTAGCCCTTCATGCGTGGAAAACGCTTTTTTATTTGTCTTTGGTAATCCGGGCTCGATATCAACAAAGTAACTAGTGTATATACACTCCCCTCCATAAGTTTGGCAACCTTAGCTCCCCCATTGAACTACGTGTTAAAGCCTCTTTACCTTTGAATTTTTATTTACTTAACCTGCGATGAAATTACTTATATGGATGGAAACGTAATTTGACTTTATTTTCAATACCTCCAAGTTTTCTAATTTTTTTCCTCAATTATAATAGATCGAAAATTGATGATAAATTTGATGAATTTTTGAAAATCGACATTCCCATGTTAAGCAATGGGAAATGATACGATTTGATATTTTTCATAGTTTTTGGGCCAATATAAAGGTGGCAGCAGTGGTAGAATCCTATCAACCGAATAAGGGAGAATAAAAACATACACACACTTTTACCCAAGTTCTGGATATACATGAGATTGATTGGCCTGTCCTCTTTATTTCAAAGTGATTTCTATCGCCCTTTAATGATGCTACTAATCAAACTAGCGTCTTTAGAAGCTTGTGAAATCGCGGAATCCTGTAAAGAAAGAAGCTTTAGAGATATGCAGATCAAGATATAACATATCGAGAACGATGTTTCATATGCCATAACAATTTCATGCTTGTCTAATGTGATCTGACTGCTTCAGGCTGTCGTTGGCTTGCCCCATATTACATTGGCTTAATTTGTGCTGTCCCTAATGTATGAATCAGACATCAAGGGATTTTAGAGAGAATCTTTCATCTCATCTTTCTGATTGAATTCTCCCTGATTGGGTTGTCTTTAGTACAAACAATCCCCCAGGGGTATATTAAACTGTTGTTTCTATATATGGAATATAGGTCACTTCACAAAAACTTACTATATTTTCTAAAGTGTAACAGTTACTTCATTTCCATTTGTGAATATATCATGATTACATTTTAGAATGTTCCGTCGAGAAATATATTTCAGGACTGACATTCCTCTGGAGAATATGGTACATGTATTAAACAAATGTTTTCGCAAAAGTTAAACGTGTATGATTATGGTCCTCTTTGGATGAGTTCCATATTAGTACTGTTTAATTGGCCGATTGGGTATAACGGTATCTATGGAAAATAATTGTAACCAGCGGGACAATGATCCCTGAGGGCTGAAACATTACATGCTCACGTCCAGGTTCTCTTAAAAACGTGTAACTAATCTCGCTTGGAAATGCTTATGTTATTAGCTCTTTTTGAAAAAAAGTTTGTGCTGAAATGAGAAAAATGAATGATACATTAAGGCATAAGTTACATCATTATTAACTCAAAACATATGATCGCTGATCCATAAAAGCTTATAAATATTGTTTATCACACACCTTATAGTTGATCGCGATTCTCGATAACGTTGTCGCCCAGAGGGGGAGAAACACCAGGGTTCAAAGATGACATACGCTTATAATGTAAATCTGTATTGAGATGACACGGTCGCTGATTGGTCAAAAGTCGACAAACAAATGACGTCATCAATGGCGGTTTCAAAATTTTCGAAATACGCTTCGAATAATATTATGTTCATTTCTGGCGTGTTAACCAATATCATAGCTTCTCATTTCACATCAAGATAAAGAAAGGTGTACGGAATATGCCTATATCAATTATAACATCCCATCGAAGTGTAGTATTTGATAACTAGCCGATGAAAATTCGAACGAACGAAGGTGGTAAGCAAGTGAGGTAATTATGTCTGTCATCTTGAAACTCTGGGGCTTTCCCTCCTCTTGTTGTCGCCATTAATATTGCTGTGCAGTCAATTACTAAACGTAAAGATCTACCATTAACATTTATACTTTTGTTTTTCAGGTATTCTAACTGAATCAACCGTGTCTACACTATTAAAATGCTTGTTCAAACAATTTTGGTGGCAGTAGCGCTGGCCACTACGATCGCTGGTGACTCCGTAATTGATGAAGCGGACTGGCAAAAGCGACATACTAGCGCTGCAAAGTTTCCGACGTCAGATATCATCGGCAAAGGGTTATCGAACGACTGCCAAGAAGATTCGGCACGGTGTCAAAAGAGGAATAAAACATGTGAGCCAAATTGTATACGTGAATATAAAAATACGGTGATATTTTGGATTCGTGGGGTTGCCATCCCTACACTGTGTATCATAGGAGTGGCCAGTAATATGCTCAATTTGTTTGTTCTCACAAACCCAAGTATGTTCAATTCAACCAGCCTCTTCTTGATTGGTCTTGCCATCTCTGACATTGGGGCACTCATCACACTGGGTATCTACTTCATATTCTTCTACAGCTATGGTTACGTGGTCCTATTAGAAGGGGAAGATGAGAGGTGGTATACCGAGATTCCTTTCTGGCCCTGGAGGATGTACTGGAATATCTACAACATACCAGCAAACATTTTTGTAACATCCTCTAACACACATGCAATGTGCGTAACAATATTTCGATTTTGTGCAATCGTCTTTCCACGGAAGGCAAGGCAACTAACAACAAAACGAACTTGTTTTCTCGTCTTACTGATCTTTCTTTGGGGTGCGGGGTTAAATGCTCCGGAGTTTTTGCAAAAACAAATTCAAACAAAACAGTTCAAAAATCAAACTATATCTTTCATGAATTCAACAGATTTGTTTCAGAATCGACTTTTCCAGGGTGTATATTATCCAATCAAAGCATTATTGAATATTTTCATACCCTGGTTCACATGTTTCTTATTAAGTATATTTTTGATGCTTTCGCTAAAGAAACGATTTCATCATCTCGTCGAATCGAGATATCCCGAGAATGAACGTTGCTACGAGGCTGAAGCGGACGGATTTGTATCAGCCAGAAAGAGAAGGGACGGCAGGATCACAGTGACTTTGATTGCGATAAATGTTTGTTTCCTTGTCTGTGAATGTCCTGCAGCCATTTGGTTCGGCTTGTTATGGACGATAGATCGCCAACAGCTGCAAACCCGTAAATATGAACTCTGTCGTTCAATTATAGATTTATTCCTCGTGCTAAACCTAGCTCTAAACTTCTTCTTGTACACGATGACAAATAAGCAATTCCGTTTGACATTTGCTCAAATGTTTCTGCGCAAGAAAGGACAAATTGTTCAAAATGATTATAACTGGCATTTGCTGAGTTTCGATTCTACCCCAGAAGTACGTATACGTTTTAATACAATGGATAATCTTAAACGACCACCACTCGGAGATACTGATAACACAAAAGTAACCAAAATTGGATTGGAAACAACAGAACTATTCTCAAGTCATCCAAATATATCTAACATTCTCCGACCTCCGCAATCGTCAAGATCTTTTAGTAGTTTCTAATCGACTCATTGTCGTCTGCCCTGCTGCCGGAGTGAAGGGGAGTATGGAATGATCTGAAAAACCTACAGTGAACAGGGACCACTCACATGCCTATGTTCGAAAACACCATCATTCCTACTAAGTTTAAATACGTGTGTGGTGTAACCAAACAACAACATGGACTCATTCTTATCGTCGATTTCCACTGGGTCTATGAACAACTAAAACAGTGTAAATCAAGATACACATTCTGACATAAACAAAATAGAAAAAAACAAAAGACTGTTGCTAAATATCCCCCTACTTCTTACCAAAGGATGAATTCACAAAATTGTTAAACTTAAACGTATTCACCAATTGTGAGAAATCATGCATGGCTTTCAATAAGCTTCTTTCTAGATTTCTAGTTAAAGGCAGAAAGATGTGATCAGTATCATAATGGTATTTACCCCTAGCTTAACTCGGAAATATTTGTCGTGGTCTCAAGCTCCTCAATACTTTTATCTTGTACTATAAGTCATTAAAACCCAGCTCCTTCTATTAAAATTAAATGATTACATTTGATCTACGTAAAATGAAATCAAATAATATTCGATAAGTAAGATTAACAATATTGTATGCCTTGGTCACATTTGCTCCGATTTTCACTACGGCGCCCGGCCGATTGAGTATTTTGTTCATAATTGAATACAATATTAAGCAAAATACTCAATCGGCCGGGCGCCGGCCGATGGATCGGAGCAAATGTGACCAAGGCATTAAATCCAACTGTTCTCGAGCTCAAAACTTCTGAAACTTGGAAGACAGAATTAATTGCATTATCTAGAATTTGATCATGTATTGTGATGTCGTGTCACCACGGCAGCCATAACCTTACCTGCGTTTCACATTTTTTTAACTTTAACATTTTAGTTGCAATACTTGAAAGTACATTATGCTAAAATGTGAAAGCAGATTTAACGCAATCCCTGGGCCAGTTCTGTTTCTCTTGGTACACCCCATGAATAGCACCACATTTTCCTTTACTATATAGGGCTGTTTATTAGATATTTTACGGTTATTCAAAGATATAGAGTGCCATGAAGGATAATTTGTATTATCAGGTTTAACTTAATAAACCAGTGTTTATCCACAAGATTGTACTAGAGTTGAAAAGAAGTTTCGTAATTACGAACTAACAAGAACGCTCAAAAGATATTGGAACGACAAACTCATAGTTCAATGAGAACCCTATACAAATCAAATCAATCAGGTTGAAAAATCGATGTTCTGAACAAGTCTGTAAGGCCATTGACATAATGTTTTCCTCCCTAACGATAATATTACCTTAAAAATTAGCCTCTCTCGCCATAATATCGCTATCTTGATATATTGTGTAGGGTAAATGGAAAAACAAAGTCGTAAAGAATAATCAACTGAATACAAAATAAGGCTAAGAGAAAATATTCTTGATTCTGATCGCAAGGCTTTCATTTTTCTGAAATATAACATTTACATGTACATTTTTTTTATTCTTTCTAAAAAATAATGACGAGGTGATAAAAACTATATGAGTTGTTGAAATAAAATAATTTCTTTTCGCTCATCTGGCTATCGGATGGAATGATATATAGCATTGAAATAGAAACTCCGTGTCCCATTTCAAAATGAATAAGACCTGTAATTTATAAAAAATATACATAACGAAGTCACCTGAAAAGTTTCTACTTTGCTCACCTTATCTTCCCGAATTGCCTGCGCTGAGTACGTAATGGCTTCAATACTCAATTTTTATCTTGGAAATTAATCACATCTGATCATACATCTTTGACTACCGAAAATAATCTCCGTGTCACAGGTGTCTAATAAAATAATATAATAACAAGACAGGGCATCAATCATCATACAGGTTCTGTGTAAATTTATCCTGGGTTCAATTCTATTCTGACAATTATTTTCATGGATTGTAAATTTACACTAGGCCTTTAATTTCAACATTAAAACAGTTCAATAAGAATCAATCTCCAATCGGGAATTTTCGAATAAAACTTAACAACTTCCAAATTTTAAGGAATAATCTATTAGTTTTGTGCTCGAGAACTGAATACTACAACAAAAGTGAATTTGATTAAACGCACTTAGCTTAGAGTTGGAGTTCTGGCCTAAGTACCACTTTAAGGTACCATGGTACTTAACAGGAACATCCTGTTAAGTACCATATGGCACCTTAAGGAAAGGAAATACACATCTGACCTGAACCTCTTTGAATTGGTTTTGCCACTACACTCTCTAGTTGCCAACGAAATCGTAATTTTAATGTGAAAAAATGAAAAATCCCCATCTAAGGCTCCTTAAATAAAAAGCTATATGAGACAGGACTCTCACCAAAATCCTTTATTATGTCAAGCTTAACATCGAGTTGTCCAATTTTCGATCGAAAAATAGAAATGGTTCATTGGAATAAGTAATATATTCATCAAAAATATGTATCGTTGACAGCTGTGTCTATTTTGGGAATTAATAAGGCTCTTTGAATGGTGGTAAATAGTAAAATCAATAAATGTGTTAACCCATGCCTAACCCATGCCTGCCCATGCCTAACTAACTCTGGATATCAACTATACCATAGTGTGGGGCTTTGGTTAGGGTGATATCACGATGGTAGTTTTGTATAAAGCCCCTGTTCCTTCTCCTCGAGTAATAAAAATGTCTTGCCTCTATACATAAGATATTTGAATAGATGGTGGGCTCGACAAGAGTATTGATACGAGACCATAACATGCATGGTTACTGTTGCGATGTTGATGAAAATATACCTATATTTCATGTATTTAACATTGTATAAGGCTAGCTGTTATTTAGTGATAAGAGGCTATTTGTATTTTATATGTCAAACTGATAATCATAATTATGCTCATGCAACTAGCTTAGTATTTATGGAGACGTAAGCAAACCGACGCTGCATGTTTGCGAAAAAAACACTCGAGGCAGAAATGGCAAAAAGGGAAACTCTTGAAATTATCGATGCTACAATTAATAATATCAGTTTAATTTAGCAATCATTAGGAGACTCGTCTATTTAACAACATTGTCTGTTTCGTAATGGAACTGTTACTTTATCGAGACAAAATATAGATACTGTCATTAACTTTCGCTAATCGCTGCTTAAAAGTTGGTACTTATTTTGTAATTTGGTATTTTCGGTTAATATCTCAGAATAATGTATGTGCACTGTAGTATTTTATTTCAACATGTAAATAGATTAGTATTTTTGGTGTTGTAAAATAAGTTTATGCGCAAGGTAGAGTCTATTAGTAAATAAATATGAAATTAATAAAGATAACTTGCCAACCGTGTGAAATACTGACTTTGGAAGATGAGGAAACATAACCCAATCCAGTAAACAAGGGCTACCCCTCTAGACAAGAATTATATCCCATGGTCTGAATCCAGTAAGTTATTTTTGTAATCTATTTTTATGACCTAATTTTAGAATGTATTCCTGAAATACTACCCATCCTATCTCCTTTTCGCACTGTCCCTTTTCAACAAGTACAAGTGCTATGAATCGCAAACATACGCGACCGCATTATCACGTTGCTCAAGTCTTAACAATGTAAATTGTTCCGGACGTGTTTTTTCAAACGATTTAGACGTGTTTTGTAAGAACATGGAATACGACATTCGTTAGAATGGAGCAAAAAGGTAAAAATATACTATATTTTACAAACTAACATAACTTGACTTCTACCTAAGATGTTCTTCTTCATATACCCACGTATCTATTTTGGCGATCATTCCATCATACTTCATAGTACTCGCAATTATATACCAAAAATGCCAGAAATAGGTACTAAATTTGCATTTAGTGTTATTTAATTAAGTTTAAACAGACTATCCATTCAACAACGTGGGATAATATTCACTTCTCTAAAGATCGTGTTCATTATTATAAATTGCCATAAATGACTGTAAATGTAGAAAGTGGAGTTAACGATGGAAAAGGGATATTTTTGGACACGTCCAAATAGTTTAATCCCAAAAATATTATTCTGTCAATTGCTACTTATCTAAGCTCTTTAATTTGTGGTTTTCGCACATATTGTGGGTACTTTCCTTATGAATCAATGTATTCATTGAATACAAGGCAGGCTAGTGATTTTCAGGCAAAAATATGTGTAACACTGAATATTGTTAAAGAGACTTCGGAATAAATGATCCATCTATTGAGCAAACGCATCACACAACGAATCATCATGAAGTTGACGATGTCAAGAATCAATGCCAATCGACTAAATATATTACAGAGAATTTGGTAGATGCTGCTAAATCAGCAGAAGCAGATACAACACTATTTGTAATTAACCCCCACTTAGATAGCAAAACAATAGATTGAACTGTATTTTAATTTTAGGAATGTCCAGCTATTACAAAGAAGTGAATTATTTTTCTATTGTTTTTAAATAATTTACATTTGATGTGCTATCCAAAATCAGTGTGGCACAAAGGACGATTGACTGTCACATGCAGTGCACCAAAGCTGAACTTGCAAAAGAGATCAAACTTTAAGCTAAACCTGTTACATACCGAAATCGATTTTCCTAAGATTGGACCATGGACCATTTACCTGTAACAAGACTCAGTGCCCATGGCCAGTATGTGGTTTAAGTTAGATAAACCATTCGTCTTGGGTCTAAGGATAAAATAATGGCATGAAATGAGAATATTGCTATATTATTACGCAGCTTGTTTATGAACATTTTAGATGATAAAAACACCGAGATTATGAGATTAAAGTTTGTTTCGAATGTTCATAGTCTCTGACTTCCAGTATGCAGTGTTTGTTGACTAAAACTTATACAGAACTATAAATTTGAAATATGGAATAACACGTTTACCTTCCACATAAACATCCCCTGTGTCATCACATAATTAATATGATCATTCTTTAAGAAGAAAACATTTAACAACATATATACAAGTAAACATGTTGATGTGTTTAACTAGATAACAGCAACACCAAGGCGTATTTAATCCTATCGAACAACCATCGTGGTTACCATCTTAGCCAAATTGCATTTAGAGTGTAATATTCTTCACATATTCACATATACAATTTCGACAAAACCCCTCAACTATTTAAAAAAAATAACACACATAAAAATGGCCACCATTTTTCAAAATAGCCGCTTACTAGCCAAAATGACATTGGAACGTATTATATATGCTTAGTATTCGAATATAAAACACTTACCATGCTTATGAACATTCACAAATCAAACACATAATCGCTCCATTACTTTTTTAGTTAGTAAATAGCAAAAATCGTAAATTAGCGGGTAACAGCCGCCATTTTCCAAGATGGCCACCAAGTCTTTTTTTAAATAATTATATTATATCTTATTGCATTCAAAACATATATAAAAATTACAGTTTCATTTGTCGAAGCTAAAATAACATAGAATTAACACTAAAATGGTAGCCATTTTGAAACTGATAGCCATTTTGAAAACCCTCTTCCGAGCGGAACTTGTATTCACAGGAGGCATATAAGTATTAAATATAAATTATATTAGGCCATTGGTATTAGAGTTATTGCCTGGACAGACAGACGTTCGTATAGTCGAAGCCGTTGTCTATATATTCCTTCTAACTTCACTTGATGGGATAATAACTTATG